TCTCACTGCTTTTACAATTTGGCACAGAAATTGGCGAGAGTACGACAAACACTGCAGCACTTTTTAGGATACAAGTGACTCGTGAAATAAATAATAAGTTTTAGCATCGGAAAAGGCAGACGACAGCGGAGATAATTGAAAACTTTTAATGAATGTTGCAAATTTTGCGAGGGTTTAAAGGGGTAAATATGACCGACATAGCCATGCCGGGTAACTTAATTAGTTGGGATTGTAGAATGTTTCTAAATTAATGACTTCCTTGCTTTTAGATTAAAGACCAAAAAAGCTTTCCTTGGATTGTTACTCATTTAATTATCTATGGTAAAGAAACTTTGAAGGGCCAAGGTTGTTATTAGTATTTGAATTGTTTCACTCACATTGTCTCTCTGTCGATATGAGTCTGAATCTCAGTAGAATAAACTAAGAAGTTTCCCACTGTTTTGAACAATTATCAGGATATCTATTTTTTTTTTATCGCCATGCAAAATCCTTCGTTAAACCATGATTGTTCCACCACGTATACAACCTAATTTGCATCGTGTCTTCATTTTTCTGTTTTTGGGGTTATGTCTGTCATAAGTTTTAATGGGTAGTTTCTCACGGTCTACACCAAAACTGTCCGAACGTGTCACTGTTTGACGTAGTTTTTAGTAAAGAAAAATCATATTTCCAGGGAAATAGAATAGGATACTGAATTACCTACCGGAACTTGAAAGACTTGTTTCATTTTTTGCCGGATGTATTTGTAGTAGTATTTGTGAAGACTGGCATATAATTGAATACCGGAAAATAGCTAAATCAACAATTCCCCCGTATACCATTTTTTGAATTATGATCGAAAGGTAGGTTGTTAATCAACTGCAGCTAGGTTTGTGACTGTTAACGATGGACAAAATAGGAAAAAGGGAAGAAAAAAAAGCGCCTACCTTTTTTATTCAAAGCTTTCTTTTGTCTTTAAACTGATTCTGATATTTTGATAGTTACGTTGAGTTCTTTTCCGGAGTGGCTGTGAGTTAAATAATGTTTCCTTTTTATCAATTCACAAGAAGGCAGCGTGGCCGAGCGGTTTAGGGCGCTGGTGTTGAAATCCGGAGGTCCCGGGTTCAAGGACTCCACCCTGCCAGTAGCGGGATTTGTTTCTCGGTAGTCCCGAGTTCAAATCCTCGATCACACTTTGTAAATAGGCAACTGGTCTGCCTCCTGCCAGTTGGGATTTTTAACTATGTTACGTTTACTTTGAAATATTTGTTTCCTTTGTTTCAGTGGCATGCCTGTGAACTAGCTAAGCTTAGTGCTTGTATAGCTAAGTGCATGACCACTATAAATAAGATTTACATTTACAAAGATAATATTTCACTACGTCAATGTGAAACTAATTGCTAGTTTATCTGGTGCTCCGTGTAAAAACAAACGTTTCGTCCACAGTAACCTCCTGCTCAGTTCAAAAAGCGCTTCAGAGAATTAGTATTAGCCCTACGACGTTTTGTGAAGAACTGCGATTTGGAGAAAGTAAAAAACTAAAACGAAGGTTGCATTACTAGTGGATGAATTATTATTATTATTATTATTATTGCTATTTTTTTCATTCGTTATAAAACTTTCAAAGAGAGAATTGTATTACGTACAATTGTATCCCCATTTATGACATCCATGGTCTTATGAAACTCTCGGTTTTTCTAAGCAGTCTGTCGCTCAGGGACACCAATAAAGTCTTGCACAGGACGTTTCGACGTTCGCTTAACGTCAGTATAAAATGAATAAAAATGGTTTCGAACATACAGTGAAGTTATCTTCGTTTCTACCAATCTTTCGCTCCCTTGGCAAAAACTTTAAGAGATATTTACCCTCGTTTATTATACTTGTAACCCTTATGATGTCCTTGGTGGTTCGAAAAATCGAGATTCCACGGTAAACTTAGACGTGATTTGTAAGTTCAATATCAGAAGCCTCTAAGGATGCCTACCTTGTGATAACCAATCAGGATGTTAGCGTAGTCTGTCTTTGCCGGACTGAAATTTTAATTTTAGTTATAAAGGCTTCACCTGAGTACAGTTCATAAACTTCTATGCCATCACTAAATTAAAAATTCAATAGATATTCGATAATGGACCTGTGCATAATGTAGTAAAAAAAAAAAAGAAATATCATCCCTAAAGCTTTCTCACACTGCAAATGCCCCCTCCTTAAAGTTTTCCCAAATAAATAAGCTTCTTCTAGGGTACGTTGGCCTCAATTGGACTTGAAACGTCGTAGAATGGAATATTCTGGAGAAAAACACGCTGCTTCATTTTCGCTACCGACTGAAGCAAAATTTAATAACAAATGATGTACGTTTACAGGGCCGTGGCTAGTAACAGGCGAATCGAGGCAGTTGCCTCCGTCATTTTTCTCGTTTTTTCAAGGGAAAAAGTAAAACATTGCTAGCAAATAAGTAAACAAACAAATAACATTGCCTCAGTCATATTTTTGTCTGGCTAGCAAAAAATTAAATGAGCAAAGGAGACTTGCTGAGAGAGATTTATAGACTTGTACTAGAGTGCGCGCATGCCGCCATGAGCTGGGCAAACACTATCCGCCAACGCTATTCTCCATGTCGTGTTCAAATTAACAGCAACAAGAAACAGCAAAACGCATGCAGGAGTCTGACGACTTGTTATATTGTCAGGAGTCTTGGCAAGATGCTTTTATTAAAAACTTTGCTCGCGGAAACACATGCGTGCTCTTTTACAGCTTTCCAATAACATTTCCAGCATCTCTTTAGACAAGTGCTTCCCTTTGTTCTTTGCCGAAATGATGTTATTCAGACTTAACAGATAAATAACATTTACACAGTGACAATTTCTGGTTTCTTAGCACAAACAGCTTTTGTCTTCTGCATAATTTTAGCAGGAAGCAACTTCCTTGACAAAGCAACAGCTGATATTAGACCTTCATGATCATGATCACACCGCAATCTATATTCTCCAGTGACATTTTGTAGAATCTATTGAACGTGAGAAAGGGCTAAACAAAATCGATATCAGCTGCAGTCAACCCACGGTAGGTGCAGTGACAATTATTTCGATGCCCAAGTAGTTCAATGTTCCATTTTTGAGATAACCTAGAAGAATTGTACAACAGTTACGTCGCATTTATAGGCTAAGCTTGCTATCAGTTATCTGATAATAGCATAACTCACTGACCAATTCTCAGGTAAACGCGCAATCCAATTGCCTAAACGAGGCCGCCTGAACGATCCCGATAGAACTTATCAATCTCAAAAAACTACGCGTTTTTGGGATGTTTGTGGAAAAAAAATAACCTTTACGTGTTTCATAAATCGGCCTGTGGGTTTTGATAAAACATTACACGGCTCGCTCATGCACGGCTTATATCGACTTTGACACTCTTCTCAGGGTTTCGTCCTTCCCAGCTATCAGCCGATAGAAACCTCGACCACGTTCGCCGTCTAATTGCGGAGTAAATAGCTGTTCCTTTATTTTCAAATCGAGTGCGAGAAAAAATTATCAACAAACTGTTATCGCTTGAATCGATGTCATTTACAACTCGCTCAATATAATCCAAGTTCGTATAAAATTTATACCTCTGTATTTAAAGGGCACTTTATAAAAGCTGAGGTTAACGAGTACAAAAAGTTATTCTCTGTTCGGACTTCGTTCTCTATACATTAGGGTTTAGGTTTTGAATTTTTAGATTCTATTTTTTCTATTTACATTGCTCGTTTAAAGGTAAGGTTTGCATAAACAAAATTTAAGTCGCAGTTTAGACTTCTAGCCGGAAAGCTAAGTTTTACATATACAAAATTTGCTTATCAATTTAAACTTCGTTCTGTATAACCAAAATTTCCGTCACTGTTTAGTCTTCGCCCCACATAATTATCGAGCGAGCAAGATTTAATTACACGAAATATTATAGTTGGGAATTCTCGTATTATCTTAGTCCCTTCTTTTACATCGCTTATAGGGAATGAAGTCATTCAAAACAGTAAAAATACGATTGAAATCCATGCATTTCACGGCCTTTTATGGAACTACTGAACATTACATTTTGTAGCCATACAAGCTCCTTGTGAGTTGTTCTGACATTAGGGAGCTTAAGCAAACCACGATGACGACGGCAACGAGAACGTCACTGAACAAAAGGTTTCATGAGCAAAACAATAGCTGTGCACGTGTGTTATAAATCTTTGTACATTTCTTTGCCGTCCTCTTCAAAACAACAACGTGAAATGACCAAGTTCTGCGTCGTCTACGGAACGTGGACGACGACGGCTAATTTTTCGTATTTTGATTTGGAATTGAACGCCGTCGTTGCATATTTATCTTAAGCACGTTTTTAGAGCCATCGGCGTACCGAACTGATCTAGACAATCGCGAATTTCGCCTCTAAAATATAAATTCATTTTTCACTAGGCGTCGTCCTCGTCGTCGACGTCGTCGTTGCTTAAGCTCCCTATTATTTGTTTACAACATTTTAGATCGTATTGTTATAGTTGTCTGGAGGGTATGTGCTTGCTTCTTTCGTTTCTCTTCCTTCCTTGTTTTTGTCGTTTCCTCCCAGTTGTTTTACGTTCGAAGTTTTCAGCTCGAAAAAGTGGATTAGTCTTTTATGAGATATCAATGGCGTGTTCCTTGATCCACCCCGATTTAATTTAGGTATGGCGTCATTTTTGGGCGGTACAAAATTTACTATTTAACCCGAAGGAGGGAACTGTAATTACTAGGCTGAAATCAATAGCTACCACACAGTCAGTAATTTGCCCGTGCACTATCGGGACCGAGTGGCTGAGTGTGGGATAGATTTCAAACAGAGCTAAACGAAACACAAGGCGCCATGTTTGCAATTAAAACGACTGCCTGATAAAGTGACCAATTTCCAGATATATTAAGTTCTTACATGGCTCCGAGACTTGGACGAACAAAACAAAGAAACTAATTATAATCCCTCAATCCCGATCCGATTTCTTTTGTTTCATTCCTTAAGCCCCGGAGTCAAGTTAGTCGTGGCGGCGCCAAGCTGGAATTTTCAATAACATATCGAAACTGACCTGATACTTCCTAAGGACCGACATGCGATATATGACCTAACCCTGAAGAAGATAGCAACTGACTCGTGGTTGACTGTGGTTTCACAGTTTTTGTAGCTGTAAATTAAACACTGCCTTTGAGCTTAAATTGTGCCTGATGAAATGAAAAACGAGTGACATGTTTGTAAATTGAAAGACTAGCACATATACGAAATGAGTTCAAAACTATTTATTTCAATATTTTGTATGTTGAGCGAGAACACGAGCACTTCGCTGCTATAGCAACCAAATGTGACGTCACTCGTAAATACCCTATGCACATTTGAAATAGTTAATCTTTAGGTTCCATTGTCTTATCAACTGCATAAAATTTTTTGCGAACCCAATTTGAGCTGCACAAAAAAAAGCGTTATGAGGACAAAATCACAATCGGGCAAGAAGTAGCGCGGCAGTATGGTTAATTTCATCGATCAACGTTCTCCTCAACGCCTTCTCATATGGTTTCATTAAATTTGGAGCTCGATATCCTTTTGCATAAATGAAACAAATAAGTTACACTCAATAGCTTTCTTATTATTTTCAATCGTGGTTTAAAATCTAAAAAATTTCAAGAGAGTCTCAATGGGTTGGTGGCTTTTACGACTAAGGTTAATATTTTGGCCTTAACTGCTATGGGTCTTTTATTTTCCTTACGGTTAACACAAACCTCAGATATTAATTACCATCGTTTTAAGAAGTTAAAAATTAATTTTCATCATATAAAAAGGGCGAAAAATTATTTCGATTACTGTAAAACATGCTAAAGGTCTGAGGACCATTTCGGGATAGAAAAAGTATTGTACATGCATAATCTGTAAGAATTGTAAACTAATATAGTTACTACCAAGCTCCCGGCTCAGTTTCCCTGCACTATACAAGACGAGACACAAAAACGTCTTTACAAAAAATCATATGAGACTTCAACTTTATTGGCCAAATTGGTTTTACGGTTAAAATTGTTTACGGCTAACGGTTAAAATTTTCCAATTTTTACTCCTAAGGGACTTGTCAGAAATTAGCAGGGGGAAGGGGTGGGGGAGGGAGCTGGAGGTTTTCAGTTAAGCGATGAAAATGAAATGACCCTTCCAAGGTAAGGGATGAAAATGTCCTGACCCTCCCCTGAAACTCGCCCTAAAATTCCATGACCTTCCCCTGGATAATAAAACGTCCGAATTTTATATACAGTGGTAAAAGTACTTTTAATCATGATGGCAGCACTGCTGATGGTGATGCTGTCAGAGAGATCAGTTCTTCTGAGTGATATATAACAATTGATATACTAAAGAAAGCACAGTGAGCCGTTTTATAAATTTGGGTTTTGCATTTATACTTTCAACAGCTTGTCTTTTTAATACGTCAGGGAAAAATTGCATGCCTTCATTTTCATACATACTTTGTTATCTTGTAAAACATAATATTAAAGCATCCCTTTACGATAATGATGGCTTAATTTCTTGTGACCCTTCCTCTTTTCCTGTCATTTTTTTTTCATAACCCTCCCTTTTATGCCTGCAACGCCTGCAAAGCCTGTAATGCTGTTCAAACTTTAAATTTTGATTTAAGTTGAACTGTGACCCCCCTGTTTTTCACCCCCTCCCCCCTGTTAATTTCTGACAGATCCCTTAGGCCTAAATTTTTAGCCTCTTAGTACGGCTAGCCCCCATTGAGACCCTCTTTCCAGACGAAAACCCAAGGGGACGGTTACTTAATTTTAAACACGTATGTTTAAAATTTTTTCTGAGACCCTTAAAGACATATTACGTGTGTCATGTTGACAGCGTTTTACTTAAGATGCTTTTAGTTTTCTTCAAACTGGACATGTACTCATTTTCAATTTAGACGAATAATGCAATTTTGAATGAAGCAAGCAAACAAAGATACAAAGGTGCTGGATGAGTGTCTCTGTCATAGTTTTTCCTCTTATTTATTTTACTTCCTGGCCGTGTGTAAACTGATTCATCATCACGCTATGTTTCTGTGGCTAAGCCCCATTTGAGAAATAAACAAATACAGTCGAAACAGTCGGCCACCTCTCTACAACGGCTACTTTTATTTTTGTCCTGGTGGGTGGTCTAACCTACAACGGCCACCTCTCCACAACGGCAACGGCCACTATAAAGCGTCCCAGCCGCCAAAATAATAAGCATTTTATTAAGATAAAAATGTTGCACCCCTGAAAATGTACCGGTGTCATATTACACCCCTATCTCCCCATAACGGCCACCTCCCTACAACGGCCACTTCCTTCTGTCCCCAAGGTGCCGTAGTGAAGAGGTTCGACTGTAGTTCATAAGCAAAATGAACTGAAAAAAAGATTTCACTTCCATATTGATACACGGATACTCAATGAATACTGCAATTTAAAAGAAACATCAAAACGCTTTTTGATAAGACAAATGATTCTTTCAAAGATTTGGAGGGCGTAGGGGGAGTTAAAATTATCAAATTCAAATTGTTGATAAAAACAGCACGCTTCGTTTTGTTTTTGATGTACTAAATGATTTCAAATGCCCTAAAGTGTTGTATTAATATGCTTTTTAAGTCATGATTAACGATGTTAAAAGATATGTATGCTCATTGTTTTGGGGTTAATGGAGCTACAGACGTGCACATGTAGCTTAGACCTTCTCTCGGTCCGTCACGCAAACAACTGAACGAGTAGGAAGCTACTTAGTCGTGGGTTTCTAGTGTAAGAGGGATATAGTTCATATTGCTGTGAACTGTTTTATTCCAGTATTTTTATGGCGAAGTTCTCTACTGAAGTTGAGAGAATAATACAATATTAACCTTGGAGCACGCTATAATGTAAAAATCATACCTTACAATATCAGCACGGTTTCATATTCGCGACATTATTATGCAAGTAACTCCATGGAAACGTGTTCCAGTAACATTTTCCTCTAAGTAGGTTGACTCTACACGTAAGTTGTCTGCTCGCAACGAAACGTTGGCTATTGTTACAAGTAACAATTTCAAAACATTTCCTTTGTAACATTAAAGATTATCTGGCCAGGAATAAATACTATCGTAAGTTATTGAGACAGAGACAATTGCCTCATGTATGATCAGTTAGCTTCATCCCAAAGTTGTTTATAACCATTTACATATGTACTGTTTTTTGTTTTTTTTTTCTTTTTTTGCTGCAACGTTCGTGTTTGGATGTTTCAAAGTTCCCTAGTTTTTGTTTGCTTTCCCTGTTTTGTATATAGCAAATTACGAATTAAGAAAATTACAGTACATATGTTATGATACTTTGTTATCTGTTCTATCATAGTTTTATCTAAAATCTGGTATCATATCAGACTTTTCCTTAGTTTTGAAACTGGGTAATGGCACAGAACGATTACTACAGGCAAAAATGATTATTGTCTACTTATGGAAAGCTGTCATGATCTTATCAAACTGTGAAACTCTTTGGCGTCACAAAACCATACTCATTTAAAACATCTCGGACTGATCACGAAAATTGAAACGCCGGGAATGACATGTAAATTAACGTGCACGTACTGCACAACGAATTCACCATCATGATTGATAATGTAGGTCTTTCTACGCCAAAAACATTTTTCATTGAAAGTAAGATAAGCACTTTTACCTGAGGCGACAAGACTATCGAGTAGAAAGCATTAAGAGAATTTCTAGAAATGTTTCCTGGGATTTCCGGAGACAAAACAGTCTTTCTTAACTGCACGCGACGTTTAGCCTTGAGGTTTTATAAAAGCACAGTTTCCAATAATCGTGCTTTGCGGAATAAAAGAATAGGCTGATGTGAAACTCTGTAAGGTTTGTAGCAAATAACAATTATATTTTGGTAACTTTTTATTCAAAGCTGAATTCATTGCAGTGTTGTCTTTTTTGCCTTATTAAATGACTTTCAGGCTTTATAACTCCTCGTCTTACTTAATAATGTGTTCGACCATTTGATCAGACCAACAAAATCCCTTTTGAAATGACAGAAGAAGGATACAAAGATTAATATATGTTATCGCATAAGTAACTTCACTGTTCATGACGGTGTTCTTTGATTATTTCGTGTCGTTTTACTTTAGCGGTACTTCATGATCGTTAATTTGCCGACGGCGCCACCTAAAAACTCGAATGGAATAAATCACAATGTCTGCCGACCCGCCAACATGTCTTAAGCTGAACCACTTTTTATTAAATGCAATTCGTACAGGCCACAATTTTTTTATAAAAAGATTCTTTTAAAAAGACTTTAAATTGCAGAAACAATATTTTTAGACTCTCGACTGAGCAAAACGACAGCATGACAACTTTTATGGCGCACTGTCATTTTGAGGCGACACATATTAAATTGCAAAAATCTTGTGTTGACTCTGCAACGTCTCAATTAGTTTACGCTTGTGGTAGTTGGTCGACTTAAGAGCTGTCATCTAATATGCGGAGGTTATATTATTTATTTTAATTCACTCATATAAAGAACATTTTACTTCATTTCACGTTATTGCAAGAGTTTACCGAATGACTAAACCACGCCGCGACCACGAAAGCGAGAGACAGCTAGGTACAGTATTCTAAATACAATAATTTGCATCGAAAATTATTTCTTTCCATATTCATGCTTTTTAATTTTAAATTCGGTCAAGCTGAACAAACTATACCAGTTGCAAGGCGGCGACATCTTTCTTCTAAGTAATAAAGTCCTAACTAGCTCTGTTCAAACAAGGCACACTCAGAGGGCCGGCAAATTATTCTACTCAAAGCGTTTTCAATTTTTCTTTGCTTTCTATCTAGTTTACTTCAGTACAAGAAACGGGAGTAGGCCGTGGTTTCCATGTGGAACTTTATTTATATTCCATTAGAAATTTGAGCTTTTGTGCCTTTTGGTTTTAATGCTACTAAAATTCAACCCAGTTAATCAACCATTTGTTTTTAGAAACATAAACATGCGGAAGAGGCCGAAGCTACTGAAATTGTTGGTTAGAATTGTGATATCATCCCAGCTTGAAAATAAGAGATGTAAGTATTTCCTTCGAATGCTAATTTAAGTTTTTCGGCGTTATTATTTCTTGGAATAGCGTTTGTCTTTGAAGTTCATTATGGAAACTAACGGTTAACAGTCATGAAGCCCATAAACATTTTGGTTTCTCTTCCAACAAAACAATGCAATGACGTCTTCAGTTACTTGTACAGGTTATATTTTAGAAACAGAGTTGAAACAAACTTTTTTTTATTGCATCATTTGTAATGAATCACTCTTTCATTCGCCAGATGAGTGAGGTTACATTAGTGGTGCAACTCCTACACCAGCTGCTAATCGTGTCATGTGCTGAAGTCGGCAGAATTTATTTCTCCCCAACTTTGTTCGTTTGGACAAAAATGGAGGGGAAAGTACAGGGTTTTGTCGTTGTCTTATTTATATCTTTCTCAACGCTAACTGATTAATACTCAGACTTACATGAATATCATGTTCTTTTACGTTTTTTTTTATATGTTATAGTCAAAACATCCTCTATAAATACAAGGTAAAATGAGGATCTCCTATTTTAATTTTCCTTCAAATCTCACTATGTTTTCATATTGAAAGCGGCACTAAAAGCTTGTGAAAGTAAAGCCTCCGCTTAGGCCGAAGAGGTCCACACCGCCAAAGGTATTGCAGTTTTCGCGGCATCAAGCAAATTTTTAAAAAAAGCGCATTGTTGCTGCGAGTTCCTGCGTTCTTTTATTGTTATATAATCATTTCAATTACACAGATATGATATGAAAAAAAAAAAATCTAAAACTTGGGAGGCTTATGCAAAATGTAATGTCCCTTGTTATGTTACTTGACTTGCGTTTCGTTTAGTTCTTAGATTAATAATGACTTAAATGGTATATTACGCTTTAGTTGTGTTACGTTTACGTATATTTTATGTACCTTATTTTGCGTTTTAAGATCAGCCAATTGAAACAACGCTCGATTAAGCGTTCAAGTTAGCCTCCAGAACATCCCTGGATATATAGTTCCCTTGCTCATATTTGAGCTCTCCCAAATCCCTCTCCAACCTCGTTCCCAGGGTCTCTCCTCTCTCGCTCCGGGAGGGCGGGAAGATGAGAGACCCTGGGAACGAGGTTGACCCCTCTCGAAGCATTCTCGTCCCCATAGCCCTTTTCGCTCCTCTTAGCCGGCAGGGCCTTGGCACGAGCATCGAAGGGCTCTGGAGACATAGGATTTTCGAATTAATTCGAATTTTTTTGATTGGCTGTTTGAAAACAAAGAAATCTTGAACGGAAGTCAGAATGTTCGAGCGGATTGCTGGCGCGAAAATATGAAACAGCTGTGACCAGCGGTGTTAGAAATGGAGGACATGGAGGATTTGGGAGAAACCTCTCCCAATTCTCAACACTTGTCGCTTTTGCAACAAAACGGTTTTTTCAGAAACCCCGGTTGATATTTTAGGCGACAAAAGCAGCAAAGAGCCGGGTAAGAGATTAAGTTTGGCGATGGTTTACCAACGAAACTGTGCGAACTATGTAGAAAGGTGAAGAATATTAACGAATTCCGTTCTTTGTTGCTGGCATCACTTTCTTCCCAGGAATTCTCGATGGTAGGATCTTGTGTGAAAAGAGTTTGTGGCTCGCGACAGGTTGAGGAATCCCCTTCGTTGAGTCAGCGCTCTACTGTGAGGCGAAAAAGAGTGAACCGCGAAAGTGTCGAAAGTGGTCGGATGTGTCTTTTCCTTCAGGCAGCTTGAGGGCGATCAACATCACAACAAAAATCCCTCTCAGTTTAGACCTATTGCTTCCAAAAATAACACGACTGTACTACAGCGCCTTCCACAATTTTAAAAAGTTGCAACCTCTTATAAATGCGGACTTAGGGTTGGTGTGTCAGAAAATATGTCTAAAATATATTACTGTATTGTACTTGAAGGAAAACGGTGTGTAAATGGTTTTGTTTCCCGGCGAATAATTGTTAGCATATTTTTTTGCTTTGGCATCAATGGAAGGAACCATGGGAAGGCCAATAAGCGATTCCACTTTTCTTTGCTGGCCCCAATCTCCAAACGGGGAAGTGGAACTGATGATAATGATGATGGGTGGATAATGTTTCAGCTATGTACTGATGCAAAAAGTTAGGAAGTGTTCCTTTTGCAGTAAGGTATAATTAAATGATTTAGCTGAAATTAGTGTTTTAAAAACCAGGTCTCAGCAAGGCATCAATTTCAAAACAAATCTGTCACTGCATAAAACTATATACATTCAATTCTCAACTCTGATATTTGTGCAACTGAAAACAGACATTAAGATATTGTCTGTGTTTACCACCTGACAACTGATCACTGAGAGATTTGCAATCAACCCCTAAAAATGAAGAGACCTTTCTACCAACATTGAGGGTAGAAAAATATATAGAAAATAGAAAAATTTAGAGCAACTTGAGTTTTACTAAATAAATGACTTGATTTTCTCATTTCATGGGTACTTAAAAAATTAGTAACTGAGGAAATGTAAACACTAATAGTCTTATAGATAAAGTTTAAAAGTTTACAGTGGATTAGAAAATATACAATGTGTTCATCACTTACAAAATAGGGCCTAAGCAATGAAATTTTCACTTTTCAAGAACAAGTGGTCAACCCATGATTTCTCCTTACTGTAGTAGTAATGCATTTTCAAGTAGACAGGCCAATGTCTAAGTATTCCGAACCATTAGACAGCTGACCTGCAAATCGTTTTGCTTCACGGTCAACAAGCTCGCATTTAAAGGTGAAACAACGAAAATAAACGATTCAGTTGATTCATGCCAGGAGTCAAAAACAAAGGGTAACAACTGAAAAATCAATGACTTGCCAAAGCAGGTAAAAAATTAGTGTCTTTCTTCAAAACAACAATGTTCGTTATCTCCTCTTTCTGTTCAACACAGAGGGAAACATTCTCTAAATTGATACCACTTAAGGCTTGACACAAAGATTCCTCGAATCCTGGCTCGACGGCCGTCATTGACAATCCCATACAGTAAGTATGTAGAGACATTACGACTGCATACATGAAGGCCGGAAGTCCCAGAATCTAGGACTGGAAAATCCTATGTCCCCAAAGCCCTTCGATTCTCGTACCAAGGCCCTGCCGGCTAAGAGGAGCGTAAAGGGCTATGGGGACGAGAATGCTCTCGAAGCTGCACGAGCCTTGGGTCTTCTAGGGAACAACAATTTTACTCCGGCTGATCTTTGTCATCTATACCGTGATGTGGCAAACTATTGGTCAGCTGTGACATTCAATCATTTCTTCATAGGCTGCTTTGTATTCGGTAAAAATTTGCTAACATCCTGCTATTGTTTTGCTTTCCACAATATAATCATTATGACAATCAAAATTTAGTTTTCCACGTGTCTTTAACATTGTGCTGCGAATATAACTTCAGTTGCAGCTTTCAAAGTATTTTTCCATTGCTTTTGAAAAAGATTTCCTTTAAACGGACAAAACTGCTGATTTTAGAGATAACGTGTTTGTTCTTGTTTGGGGTGTAACAAGTTGTCACCCACAAGTTGTAAGTATATCATTGACTTGTATAAAGTAATGCTTGCTTTGGCTACCTTGAGTAATAAGTCCTTTTTGACCTTTTTAGGATGGAAGGTGACAGAATTTATAATCAGTTGTTCAGTACGATTAAATTGACACATCATACAAAGATAAGCGAATTGACTGTTACATTCTATTTTACTCAGGGTCTACGCTCTTCGCTTTTCATTACAAGAAGTAAACTGCACAACAGCGCTGACTAGCACAAGTATCCTGAACGAAGGGATCTTCCACTGACTACATTTTAACTCTTCACGACAATTTCTAAAGCTGCAAATCAACTTAGGCATCAATGGGAGACCCTACAAACTTTACCTCAGTTACTGAGACGGAAAAACACATCAAGCTGGGTTTATACGTGTTCACATTCGTCCTTGGAGTATCTGGAAACTTCCTTGTTCTTCTTGTCTTGTGGTCGAAAAAGCGGAAGTCGGTAAATGACATTCTTATTTTTAACTTGTCAATGTCTGACTTGACACTCATGTTGCTGTCTTTACCGGTTAACGTATTTCTCCTGGGTGGGGTCGACTTTCCAATGGTGTTCTGCAAGTTAATCTCTCCTCTTATGACTGCCACATTTAATGTGAGTATCTTTACTCTGACATTCATGGCCGTTTATCGCTGCCGTGTTATCATCAACTCTTTAAAACCGGAAATGCGTCACAGGAACGTCAACCTATGGATAATCGTTATTTGGATCGTTGGATTTCTGCTCCTACTTCCGCTTATCATCGTGGCAGAAACCGAAGAAAACGGGGGATGTATAGAGAGCTGGGAACCAGACCAAAGTCGCGTCTACACCGCTGTCCTGTTTACATTGCAATACGTCCTACCGCTGACAACCATTGCCGGCGCTTACGTAATGATTGGAATTGAATTAAGGAAAGCCAAAGAGCGGCACGACTCCGACGCGCAGGACCGCTTTGCTTTAGAAGTACGACGAAAAGAAGACCTCCAAATTATCAAGATGATGGGCTTGATAGTAGTATTATTCGCTCTCTGCATGTTACCAATTCAGATCGCGTGGTTAATTGCGGATTATGGAGCTGAAGGACATAAGAAAGTTGGCCGTGTATTATTAAGAGTTGCTGATATCGCAGCCTATTTACACGCCTGTGTTAATCCCATAGTTTATGGAACTATAACGAAGTATTTTCGTCGTGAGTATATAAGATATGTAAGGGCTGTTTTCTGCTGCCGTAAACCGTGGTAAATTAAATCAACTCGAATTAAGTTGTTCAGGCATTTTATTTGCACTGAAAGTAAAACTCCAATAGTATTATACATTCGGTGGGGGTGGTGTTCAATGTCGTGATCGTTCGCCTTTGAATAATAACATACTTAGCAAAACAAGTTAACGGAGATAAACACTGTATATATGCCGGTCATTGATTTTACCTTTGCCTTTGCCTAAATGCCAGTAACCCTTGAATAAATTGGAACCAATCACAAAAAGAGAAACATTTTTTCTCTTGCAGAGAGGAAATCTTCCATTTAATGGTGAATTGTTTAAAACTATTAAAAATATGTTCTCGTCTTAAAGAAGGTTCCTTGTAGAATAACAAAAGTTAATGAAAGGGTTAAATATTCTTAAATACGTGAAAAGCTAATTTAAAATCATATGTGATTGACGTACAGGACCTTTTCTAACGCCAGATGACTTTTTCTTTGTGAGAATTTAATTAAAGTAAGCCGCGGTGAAAAGGGACCTAAAGGATCTCAGTGGAATTGATAGGTCGGTGTATCCTTTTCTGTTTTGTGTTCTTATGTAAGGCGTCTGTAAATTGAATACTACAGGTAATTTTCCTCATTCATTATTCAAGGTATTTGCTACTGAATTTTGAAAGACCCTTGAGTTGGCAGGCATGTGTCACTGTTCGTGAAATTCAGTTAATCCCATTGGCTGGTTCAGAGAGTTTCCAGTGGTCTGTAAGCTATCGTGCGGAGAGAATTTTATTAGCTGTTAAAATTTCATCCAACGAAAAACAACGCTTTTCCTGGGTGGTCAACGAAATTGAAAATTGTGAATTTCGGAAAGTCGCAAAACATATGTCTTGATCGAGGCCTGGTGGTTTTACTGAAAATCATGAATAACAGCACATCTGAGGCAATAAGAAAAATTTCACTACTCGCGCGACACAAGAACAACTTGTTATGGCTGAAAGCGACCATTGGGTTGTACGTTTTAACGCTGGTTCTTGGCTTCTTAGGAAATTTGATTGTTTTGATTGTCATTGCGCGCAAGAAAATACGAATGTGGCGTCCACATGAAACATTCATTCTCAATCTTGCAATATCTGATCTAATGCTTATCACAATATTTCTTCCTTTTCAAATCTACATCTTCTTAGTGGAATTTCATTCTTCTGTGTTCTACTGCAAGTTTATCGCATGTTTGATTACAGTGGCTTTGGGAGCGAGCATCTTTACCTTAACTGTTATGGCGATTCAACGTTGTTATGTTATCACAAACCCGTTCAAACATGGAACTATATCGCAACAATCAGTTATAATTTGGTTAGTTCTAGTATGGATCCTATCTATTGTGTTAGTGGTACCCAGAATCCTCGTGTCCACAGCATACTCAAACCGTTGCATTCAGCAGTGGCCGAATCAAAGCATTAAAAAACTATACACCGTTAGCTTATTTATCGCACGGTTTGTGATACCGTTGTTTATCATTTCGATTGCTTATTTTCGCATTGCAAAAGACTTAGCACGTTCACCTGCTCCAAGATTTGACTTGGACGAGAACGGTCAAATAAAGACGCGTACTGCCAGGCGTGAAAATGTCGAGGTAACGAAAACTCTAGCTGTTATTGTTGTGTTGTTTGTGCTTTGCATGCTGCCTTTTCGCCTAAATATGATTGTGATGTTGTTTGGAAACGAAGACCAAGTACTCCTAGCGCGAACGATGCGCCGATACACGTCAATATTAACAGTAATTCATAGCTGTACGAATCCCATTGCGTATGGAACGCTCACAAAGACCTTTCGCAGTTGGTTAGCTCGATACGCGCGTTGGTTGAATTCGTTGATTCAATGTAGGCACTTACAACGTGAAAACAATCAAGAGGAAACTGTCAGAAGTTTGAAACGAACACGAAAGTCAAGCGAACATCTGCGGAAATTTAAATTAATCCACTTAATATCAGGCAATACACAGGGTATGAACTTGCCAGTTGAAACCACAGATACGAGATTACTCCAAGTGAGGTCTAAAATGATATATAGAAACAGGGAGAGGAAGGAGACTGCTGTATAACCAGGAGGAAATGATTTGGAAGGGACACATTTAATAACCACTTTGCCCTTATTAACAAGGCGAGGAAGGAAAAAGATGCCAACATTGTTTCAATTTTACTCAATGGAAACCCAGGCAATAAATTTACAAAAGCGTGATAATTTCAGCTTACTTTACCTCCATCATCTGACTGTCGTCTAAAAGAAGGAAAATTTTATTCATTTTATTCTATTATAGTTGATTATAGTTGCAACATGATCGGAACGTACGGGTTGGCGTACAAAGAAAAAATTTCAAAAGGAAATCAACAACTGCAGGAAATCGAGAGCGTTGACCATCGAATCGTAGCATACAGTGAAACTTGTATTAAGAGGACCCCATATCAAGCGGACACCCTCGGACACCAGCTTGAGTCCCTAAATTTTCTTCTACTGTAAAATAAACCTGTATTCAGCGGACACCTCTGTTAAGCGGACGCGGACACCAAATATTAAGCCATTTTATTTAGTCAGGGAGCAGGAACCGAAAAATGGGAGTTTCGTTCAACCATCACCACAGAAAATGTTTGACA